GGCACATTCTGCATGGAGCACTGGGTGTTATGCACAAACAATGAATCATGGAACACTACATCAAAAACTAATGATGTATTGTATGGTGACTAACAACATAATAAAAAAAAAAGCAAAAAAAAAAGTCTTAGGGAGAAATTTTAAATAAATGGAATGTTAAATATTTTTACTTCTAAACATAAAAAGTTACCCCCAAGTGATAGGCTAACGACACACAGCCACTGCGTTGTCCTTCTGGGGACCGCTGCAGACCCAGGACTGGCAGCTGGCTGATGGGCCAAGGAGAAGCAGGAAGGGGTGTGTGGAGCTGGGGAAGCTGCCTCCCAGGTCTTGTATCTCCCGGGCGGGGGGCTGGCCCATTCCGGGTGTCCAGAGGGACCCGGAATATAGGCAAACATATCCAACACTCTGCCAGCCCCCATGAAAATCGGCAGCGGGGAGCCTGCCTGGACCCATTTGGCTCGCAGTTTACATGCCCTGGGAGAGGAGGCTCCAGACGGCCTCTCCCCTGCCCCACTGCCCACTGCTTTGGCCACCTGGGAATGCATTATGCCTTTCTGCAAACTTCAGGTGTATTTATTTTTTCTCTTTTTAGACACCAGCTTGGGATATTTATCCTTACTAGACGCTGACTATGACAGAAGCCCTCCGAACAAATACTTGGCGCCGGCAGTGAACTACACGGTGCGTTTCCAGTGGGTCCAGTGCCTCTTCTGGGAAGCGAGAGAGTGGAAATCTGCAAGCTTCTCTGCACAGCCAGGAGCGTCTCCAGAAAAAGTGACCTGCAGGTACAGACGTGCTGTTGAAGACACACTCGAGACTTCGAGAGGCTGACTGCATTTTCTTCCTCGCGGGGCTGGGTGCCTGAGCCTCCCTGGCCGTGGTCCCTGTGCAAACGGCAACAGGACCTGGTGTGTGCGCCCCTCCCCATCTGCAGCCTGGCCCTCCCTGGGCTGCAGCCTCTAGGAGAGCAGGGTCTGGCTTTTCAGGGCTCACCCCTGAGGTGACAGCTGCAGTAGGTGTCCCCCGATGTCTGCTGAACCCCGCTGGTGGGCATCTGGTCGGTGGCCGCACATCCACCCACAGTGGGGCTGGGCTTACGCCCGCCGGCCTCTGCGCTGAGCCGGACCACGCACGTGTGGACACTGAGCCGTCTGCATGAGGTTATACTTACTAGAACCTGTCACCCTTTCTGCCCCTCCGTTAACCCATGTACGTGACACTGTAGACTCGCAGCACACGTTTGGCGTCCTAACCCGCGTCTCCCTCCTAGCTACGACCGCCTTGCGCCGCTCTCTGTCGCAAGAAGAAACCTGAACGCCAGTTTTTCAGTGAGTGACGTTTCCAAGTGGCAGAGGTGAGGTTCGCTTTCTAGATCACAGTGGGGTCACGCGGGATGCCCATGTGTCATCCCGCAGATGCCAGAAACCCATGTCACCTGTTACTGTTTTGCATTTTGCAATCTTCTCCGTCTGTACCTACATCCGCAGACAGGAGACGTAAAAACACGAGAAAGTCAGCATACTTTCCGTCGAGCTCAGCTTTGGCTCACCATGAACCTGGTCAGTCGGCGCTCACTCGGTCATTCTTGTCAGTGAGGACACAGTGGTCTGCCCATCCTGATTTATGCATATTCATAGCTCCCTCTTTCTCTTCAAAAGCATCCCATTTTTATCATATTACTATTATTTTTAAAGTTTATTTATTTATTTAAGTCATCTCTACACCCAACATGGGGCTCGGACTCACGACCCCGAGATCAAGAGTCATACGCTCTTCCAACTGAGCCAGCCGGGCACCCCCAAAGTGTCCCATTTTAGATAATAGATTTCAACTCAAGCTTATTTCTGTGGCCATCGTTTTACCTGGAACAGGTGTATTTGGATTCTGGACTGTGGGTTAGTAGGGGTGCGCTTGTGTGGGCAGGAGCCCTCCGCCCGGTCACCCACACGGAGCACCGACCGGGCTTGGTCCCAGCAGGCACAGAGTGTGTGTTTGCTGAATGAACATCCGTGGCTGAGTCTGCATTTCCTGGTGTGCGTTGGGTCTCTCTTATGTTGATGTAATGGGGAACTCTATCCCGTACCCTATTATTTAATCCATCATCAAAGAGTTGATTGCTTTGTAGACCAGTAAGTGGATTACTGACACCAGGGATCCAGTGAGTGGGGCTCAGGACAGCTGTGGTTTCAGGTATGACGGGTGGGGGACAAGCCATCAGGAGAGGGACAGCCCTCGGGATGCCCAGATAAAAGGCAACACCTCAAGTCAGGCAGGGGCAGGTGCATTCTGGGAGGACAGCATCCTTGCAGAGCACCTGCCTGCCCTTTGAAACCCCGTCAGAGTCCCGTAAGACTCCAGGTTAGGGTCCTGGCACTAGTGACTCAAAGTGGACCCCACTCTGTGGGTCTGGAGGGTTCAGTGACCCTCCACCCCCAGGCAGCCATGGTGCCTGGGAGCAGGAGGTGAGGGCCAGGTGCGGTGGGGAGCAGGCAGCCCAAGCACGCAGGGCGGGAGGGATGGGGCAGATAGGCATGGTCGCCAGGAGGGAGGGAGCGTCCATTACGCCCACATGTCCTCGCACTTTACAGACATCGTACTCCTGAGTCTTCATCTGAGCAGTGAGATCGGTGTTCTTGTCACGTTTCATCAGGAAAGCTCCTCAGAGGCCATGAGTGGCAGCACCACATGGGCTTCAGATGTGGAAGCTGGTCTGTCACCGGGCATCTCTGTCCGAGTCCCTGCTCCTGAGTCAGCCTCCAGCAGCTCCTCCCCTGAGGGGCTCAGACCCATCCTAACATGGGGACGGCAGAGGCCACGCCATGCCCTCCACCCTTCCCTTCTTGGCCTCCTTCCCCGTAAGAATCTACTTCCTCCTCCCAGTTACAAGACAGACAGGCATTTACAAACATATCAGTGAAGACCAGCAGGGGCCTCTGTGTGTGTGAGTGTGTGAGCGTGAGCCAGCGTGGGGGGCGTTGGTTAGTCTTTGCCTGACGGTTTATTTTCATAATTTACCATTTATTCCCCTCCTTTCATTTACAGCCACCCGGAGAACCTGCTTCCCAGTATTTTGGTGGTGGTTTTTACGATTCTTTATGCACTTCTGGTTACTAAAAGCAGACGTGTAGATCGTCATGAGAAGAAGAAAGCTGGTTGCATTTTTCTGCAAGAAGATGCTCCCCCCGGCCACCAGCTGTACGCAGTTGTCGTGGACACGGGCTTCCGGTCTCCTGCCCGCTGTAGTGCCAAGGTGAGCGGGTCATCCCGGGACTCGCACTTTGTGGTGTGCAAGGCTGTGGATGGTGGGAGTGACAGACCCAGACACACCCCATGTGGAGACTGGCCTTCCCAGCTGCCCCATGTTCCTCCATCCAGAGTGGGGGGCTCCTCTCCCACCTCGTGCACACCCATGCGAGCCCTCCCCGCCCTCAGGGCCGCCCCCTTGAACCTTTGTCTCTCTCCACCTTCTCCATGGAGAGCAGCCTGCACGTCCAGCCCCACGTGAGGCAGAAGGACCGACGGATACATGGGGCAGATGGGCATCACGGGGGCAGCCCCACGGGAGGAGCAGGGGCCATTCCACAAGATATTCGGGGACCGTGGCTTTTGCTGTGGAAAAAAGCACTATTAAACCTCTACTTCACATTACACCCCAAAGCAGCTCCCCAAGACTGGAGACTTACAGATTAAAACAAAATTTAGAAACCTCTCGAAGAAAATATGTGCTTTGCGATGGGGAAGGATTTTAAAAACTGGAAATAAATAAGGCACTTCCTTAAATGAACGATTGATCGTGTGTTTCTGGGCCACTGAAGCCGCCCCACTGGGGAGTGGTGAGCCCCACGCGGCTGAGAATGTGGGTCTGCAGGGTGCCTCATGCACCCCAGTCATGGTCACAGCCCCCTGGATGGCCCTCAGGCCTCCCCCGTCTCCCCTCTGAGCCGAGGAAGGAGGACGTGCCCACTGTCTGTCCTCTTCCTCCTGAGACAAGCACATGCCCTAGTGAATCCGAGTTGCCGTCTGGCTTTTCTAGATCAAACATGTAGAAATCTGGCCAGCCTGGCAGGACAGGCGCTCCTTCCCAGGTCTCTCCTGGGGAAGTGTGGGAGGGGCCATCCAGGGATGGGGTAGGGTGTCCCTTTGGTCCCTCGGGGCTGGAAGGTTCTGGGAAGGCTGGGGCTGGGAGACGGTACAAGGACGCCCCTTTCTGGCTCAGCTTAGTGTCCTGTGTCCAGGATCTCAAACCCCCACCTTGTGTCTTTGTTTTGAGGTTTACATTGTTCTCTGTGGTGAGAATGGGTTTTCAGAACCCAGAGAACTCTACTGTCCAGAGAGGCCCCTGTTTGAAAGGAATTCCAGACATACTTTCGTCCTGAGGTGAGCGAGGCCCGGCCGAACGGTGTGGCCCTATCATGAGCCCAAGGAAGCAAAATGCACAATGTCACTGTCCAGTAAGGAGCGTCGGCGTGCACACGGACGGTCTTATAAAGTCGTTCACGGTGCTGTTTGACATCGATTCGTGCGGGAGGGAGCAAGGACGGGCGTTGGTTCACACGCTGCCGACACTCAGACAGCACGGATCCTGCTCAGCTAATTCGGGTCCTCCTAAATTGGGAAGAGCAAGGACACGTGCCGTGCAAAGACCGTGCGCTTGGATGGGGAGGGATCACTGATCGGGAGTCCAAGCACCTGCCGGTTTCAGAAAATGTGGAGAAACTGCACTAAATGCTTTTTCTCCTGGTGAACCTCGTGCACGGTCTGTATCGGTTCGGGTCCCATCTTCACTAAGAAGAGGCGAGCTCCAGACTTGTCCACGCCGGACACACATGCATGACAGAGCTGGAGTGCCCGGGGTTCCGGGGAGCCGGCAGGCATGTGGGAGCTGGGTGTGGGGTCCGCGCCCCATGCTCCAGAGGGGCTCCGTAGGTCACTCTGTGTAGCGTGCATGCGTTGATGCGTCCGCGGTGCCCCCGAGGGTGAGAATCGGGGCTGGGGCCGCCCTGTGGGGGCCCCCACCACACAGACCCTGGCCTGACCACGGCTGCTGTGTGTCCTCAGCGCCCCCGCCCTGCTGGGCCCGCTCCGGAGCGTCCGTCTCTGGCACGACAGCCGTGGGCCCTCCCCAGCCTGGTACGTGAGCCACGTCATGGTGAGAGTGCTGGCCCCCGGGCACGGGCAGAGCTCGCTCTTCCCCGCCGAGTGCTGGTTGGCGGCGAGCAGGCGGGACGGCCGCGTGCAGCGGGAGCTGAGCTGCCTGCGCGGGGGTCTCGGCTTCTGGAAGGTAGGTGACCAGCCAGCCGCCCGGCCAGCTGCAACACCAGCTCTGCTTCCCCCTGCAGCCGTTTGACTAACCTGCACTAAAGTTAACCTCAGGTGGCCGTATCCTAAGTGATGCCGCGAGCGAGCCTGCGGGAGAGAATGAGTTACCCTTGCCAGGCCTTATTGCCCTGACGATTTTCCTGTAATAACATTCACGGAATTTACTGTTGCCTGCGGTCTGTGGAGTCCAGAGGGCCGCTAACTAAAGCCGGGAGTGCCCTATGTATCCTGAACCCCAAGATGACCAGTCAGCGGTATGGGTGTGATCCGGGGGCAGAACAGCAAGAGATCAAGAAAAATGACAAAATCACCTAAAATCTCACAAACCACCCATGAAACTCGCTCTGCGCGTCCGGATCGCTCCCCATATGGGAATGTGTTTGATCTAGTTGTGACGACACTTTACGCATTTTGTGCTTCCTAATGTATTATCTTCGTGAATTTTCTTTAGAGACATCGCTGAAGGGCCATGTTGGACGTTGTGATTCTCTTTAGTTTAGTTGTAGAAACACTTTGATGGGGGCTTTGTGTTCCCGGTGACCAGTTTCGCAGGCTGGTCTCAGACGGGCAGAGGCCAGTGAGGGCTGGTGTCCTCCCACGTCACCAGATCCTTCCTTCCAGCGTGTCCCTGTCATCACCTGTCATGGGCACTGCTGATGGAGCAAGAAAGTGATTGCAGTGCATCGGCAATATGGAAATTCTTCAGCTCCCCAAAACTGAATGCCTGGCTCAACCAACTTTCCTTAGACAATTATTCAAAATACAGTCATGTTGTTTATTCTCCAGCTGTTTTGCTTGAGAACCTGTGGGGAGAAATCTGTACGTATTAGTCGGTCCACTGATATGAAGATATAATTCTCATGTCGTTAAAACGGTTTTCCCTCGTTGTGCTTCTGTGTTCTGCTGCTCGTCACCGTTTTTCTAGAACAGCCTTGAGCACCGAGTGTTCCTTGAGCTCCACTGAGCCTTCTGAACCCAGTGCTGTTCTGTAGGTAACATGCCGCCCACCACGTGGCTGACACCGCAGGGCTACTGAGGACACCCAGGTGACCCGGCACGCTCCCGGGCTGCAGTGCGCAAAAAGCCCAGTGAAAATGACCTGTGTTGCAGGGAATGTGCTGGGAACAGGGAGGGCTTGTAGACAGAGGCTGCGAGGAGAAGGGCGTAAAGACCCTCAAGGGTGAGGCAGGAGAGGTGGAGGGACAGCTTGTCCCAGAGCTGCAGATGCCCCAGCGCAGGTCCAGGGCGCTGAGCGCATGGCGGGTGAGGGTCTGCGGGGACCCAGCACCCGGCTGACAAGCTCGCGCCATCACCCGGACCATCACCGCTTGCCCACCAGGAGTTCTCGCCGTCGGGACCAGCATCTCTCTTCCGGTGTGTTTCAGCTCCTGTATTCAAAGTTTACGGAGTACCTGGAGGATTTCCACGTCTGGACCTCCGTGTACAGTCAGCCGTCCCCCAGCGGCTTCCCGCACACGGCGCGCCTCACCGTCGTCTTTGCCTTGCTGTGTGCGTACGCCTGTCTCACTGCCCTGCTCACGGCTGCGGGACGAGAGCAGGTGGGGGCGCTGGATTCTCCTGGCAGTGGCTTCCAGTTCTCAGACCTGCCGTGTGACTCGTTCTCAGCCCAGGAATTAGCAAGACTCGCAGTCCTGGCAGAAGGGTTCCAACAGGGGGCGGGAGGCAGCGGCCTCGAGCACTGCAGAGGGGATGCTGGGCTGGATGGAGCCGGGGGTCTGCGGGCTGGGGGGCTCGGGGTGAAGCCAGCACAGGCCTGCCTCCCTGACCCCTGCCACGCAGAGCTCGCGCCCTCCTCGTGCCACGGAGTGTGACTTCTCCGGAGGGGTCAGCAGCCCGGACTGTCCCAGAGCACACTCCTGGTTTTTTTTTTTAAGGTTGGCAGTTATTTCAAATTTTAAAACTCCTCTGGCCAGAAAAGACAGGAAGAGTTCTGAGGGCCACGTTTGCCCTAGAGATGCCACCCCAGCCTCGCGGTCGCTCTCAGGAGGGAGATGGATCAGCACAGGCAGCGGGAGTGGGGACCCTGCCTTCCTATGGAAGCACAGCATGATTTTGGGCTGTGGGGAAAGAGTCCATTTTGCTTCTGATGACAACCTCGTGGCCACTCAGGGTCCCCCCAGTGGCTGGGAATGTGGTGAGGGGCTCTTTCCAGAAATGGTGTCCAGCAGAGAGCACAGTGTTCAGAGCACGTGTGAGAATAGTAACAGATTGGCGGAACCTTTAAAACCGAGGGACAGGTGCATGGCATTTGAGGGACGGTGATAAATTGCGCCAGGCAGCAAGAAGTTGAAAGGCTGGGTCCAGCTGGGACGGGAACGGGCCTGCAGTCCGAGAACCTGAACTCGCCCTCCCCTCTGGGGTCGACCTTTGTCTGATCTTCTCTGCTCACCAACGCGCCGGGGTTACGGACGCCTTCTCATCAGATTGTAGCAAGGACTCAGCCGGGGGCCCACGAGGCGTGCCTGACAGAAAGTGGGCACGCAGAAAACATTCATCCAATCTGGAAAGATGTGTATATTGGAAAAACAAAAGGATTCCTTGTGAGTTTCCATTGTTTCCAAGGGTTCAGGGAGACAGGGCTTTGGTTAAACACAGGGTACACGTTCACATTAAAGACCTTGGTGACTACAGCGGACGCATTCCGGCTGCCCTGACCGCTGCCTTCCTACAGCTCCCGTGGGCTCTCGGCGCCCCCGATGCCACCGCCGGGTCCTTCCAGACGGGTCTCCTGTGCACCCTGCTGGCTTCTCCCGGGGCTCAGCTCTTGTCGCTGATCTTGAGGCTCAGCCAGGTACGGGCAGCCTGCCCGCGTGCCCTGCTGTCCCGGGTCCTCCCGCATGGTGGGATGCCCGCCCCGAACAACCCCCTTCCTTCTGCAGGAAGCCCGCAGGCCCCTGAGAAGAGCACCCTCAGAGGCAGCTCAGGGTAAGTGTGCATTTAAGAACAGCCGGGAAGGTGTTTTCTGTTTGTTTACAAATCACAGCAACAGCAGATGATGAGGTCTCCCCCGTCCGACCCTGCTGGTCCTCTTCGAGAGGCCAGCTTGCGAAGGAGACCTTGGGTCTCCTGCTCCCCGTGTTCACTGCTGTTCACTGCCAGGACAGAGGGCTTCACTCCATCTGCATGAAAGGGGCCGTGCAGCCCACGCCCAGATGCCACGTGGACGGGCCACACTGGCAGCCACATCCTGGGTCTCAGGGAGGCCCGTCCTGGTGGGGCCGCAGGGAGGGCTATTTCCTGAAGGAGGCTCTCTCCCAAAGAACCCTAGATCCCTCCTTTAACGTCATAACCTGGACTCTGTTTAAATCAGGCCCTCACTCCCGGGGAAGGACGGCAGACGCCCAGAAGACGCACGAGGTAAATACAATTATGTTTCTCTGGTGTCTCCCTCGGCCGTGGCCCAGACACAGCTGGTCAGGCCCAGGGGGAGACCCCGAGCAGGGCAGGTCCTGCAGAGAGAGGGGGCTGCTCCCCAGGGGGTTCGAGGCCCACTGTCCGGAGTCCCAGTGGAGGCCACACGAGAAGGGGTGTGGTTGCTGGTCGGTGCGGATGTTTGGGGCACGCATGGTTCCTTGTGCTTTTGAATCTCCGCCTCCCTGCTGAGAGCTCCCGTCCTGCGTGGGCGCGCTGTCCCCAGGCGCATGTCCAGGCCTCGGTCCCCTCTGCTCCCCTGCGTGGGGCTGCCTCTCTGCCCTTCCGCAGTGAGCCTCGCCTGCTCCCTGCTCGGCCTCCCGGAGGGCAGCTGGCACCGCTGTTGGCTGCAGCCACCCCGTCGTTTCCCACGGGCGCCCCACCACCCTCTGCGGATGCAAATGAGCTGGTCCCAGGGCTGCCCATGCCTCCTCTCCAGAGCCTTCCCCCCAGCCTGAGACCTGTGGAGGTGCTGGCCCAGCTCCTGAGAAAGCTTGCAAGCCGTGCTGCGGAGGACAGGATGCGGCACAGAGAACTGTGGGTGCTGAGGTGTTAACCCCATCCCCATGTTGTCTCCTCCAGCGTCACAGCCTCTCGCGGTGCACCAGGGCCTGCAGGGGGGCAGCAGGTGGCCGGAGCGCGGGCTGTCTGTGCCCAGAGCAGGAGGCCTACGGAGCTGACCCCGGCCAGCAGGCCCCGAGGGAGAAGGGGACCCGCAGTGCTGTCCATGTGCAAGGTGACGTCAGGGCTGGGGGTGCAATGCTGGGCCCCTTCCTGTGTCCTGGGCCCCTGGGAGACACAGGGGCCGCACAGCGGGAGCTGGGTCCGATGAGGCTGGACGCTCTGGTCACATGGACCACCCGAAACAGCCCTGAGTTTTGTTCCAAAGTGCTGGCCATTTCTGCTCCAAACTTACATGGGTTTGCTCACGTCTTTTAAAAAGTCAGGAATAGACCCTTCACTTGCTGCGGAGTAGAGTACCTAGCGACAGCCTCGGACGAGGCGGTAGCTCAGCGGACAGCCAGCGGGGACGGGGCCCCCGGGGGGGCAGCCAAGCAGCCGGTCAGTGTTGCCCAAGGGGGCCGTCGGGGCCTGGCCGGGTGGGTGCACGTGGCTGTGGGGCCCGGGGCTGCGGGGCGCATGAGCAGCGTGCTTCCCGGCTCCAGGTCGCCCAGGTTCGGGTGCCGGCCGTGGACACTGCTCCACGGACCGCAGTTGGCGAGGCGGCGCTGGTGGTGGGAGGCGGCCAGGTCTGGCCGGGCTGGTGCACGCAGCACCCTACGTGCTGGGGCGTGGGGTATAAAATACCTGGTTTCTGTGCGCGGATGGGGCCTGGGGCAGCAGCCTGCCGTGCCGGAGGGCACACACCCGGGAAAAGGAGACCCGCACCCGACAGCCCAGCACACACACCCGGCCGGGAGGGAGCGCAGGACTGCAAAGGGACTCGGGGGAGGTGTCCCCCTTGTACTCGCAGCAAGTGTCCTTCCCTTGCCCGGTGCCTCCTCCCCGGCAGGTGCTCCTGAGTCCGCGTCAGCTGATCACCTTCTGCCTCTAGACGGGCCCTGGGGGGTCTTCCTATTGGAACAATTGCCTGAGAAAGCAGAGCTCCATGGCCTCCTCTTGGAGACATGAAATGTGGGGGGGACCCTCCGACTATGTGCTCCACTCCAGAGAACTTACCCAACAGAGCCCGCGAGAGGCGGCTGCTACCCACCTGGTCCTCCTCCTCTGCGTGGCCG